GGACCTGGTGATCTGCTTCTGACCAAACTGGTTACTGAAAACCTCATGAATAGCATCAGAACATTGTTAGATATGGTGCCAGCTATGACTGGGGAAGAGGTGCCCCATTGAAATAGAGCCAGCCTTAATAATGCTGAAGGAGTATGTTTCTAGAACCTATGTTTGCTGATATGGCAGATTCAAAACGAGATGAAAACAGGCACAAACAGCTACGTACAAAGTATGTGTGGTATAGGGAATTACTTAATGTCTCTTCTAGCCATAGCCTGTAACTCCCACCAAACATTTCTGCCCTGCAGGGTCTGGGTAAGAGAAGGTGGGAGAAGATACGGGCAGGATGGCAGGATTCAGCTGTGGCTGTCACAGAGTTCACTTGTGAAAGCTTGAAACTCTAGCCTGGGTAGAAAATGAACCCTCTCGGAAACAAGAGAGAGATCTCACTCCCATCAAGGAAGAGGAGCCAGGAGAGGGACTGAACCTCCTTGACCCAGGGACAGGAAGCTGTGACAACGGAGGAGGGGCAGAGAAGCGGCAGCAAGAGAACCAAGAACCAGAGCACAAGATAGAGCAGTGGGCTTCCCAGTCCACGCGCAAGTAAAGCCGAGGGACTGAGGGCAGGAGATTTGCTTGTGGAGTGGGGTGCCTCCCGGCACTTACTCAGGGGAGCTAGGTTTGCTGACCCTCAGAGGTAGAGCTGAGGGCCTTCAGGTTGAGGCTGAAGTGGTGTGTCCTGAGGGCAGCTTCCTGAAACAGCTGTGCTCTACACACTTCTGATCCCAAATTGTAGCCGTTAACTTCCCTAACAAACCCCGTGACTATGAGTATGGTATTTGAGACCACTGTAACAGATTACTGAACCCAACTGAGCAGTGGAAAGGATGGTTTTGCTCTATTTTTGCAGTGTATGAATTTAGGAAAATTGGAAATTGTCAAAATGAAATTATTAAAGAACATTCTAAGTATTGTTATTGCTATGTGCTATGGAGTCGGTTCCAACTCCTAGCAACCTGGTATAGGGTTTCTGAGGAGTGGCTGGTGAGTTTGAATCACAGACCTTGTGGTTAGCAGTTCAGTGCTTATCCTAAAGTGCCACACCAGAATCCCCTTCCTAGGCATTAGTGAGCTAAAATGGACTGGTATTGGTCATTTTGAATCAGACAATCATATGATTTACTATGCTGGGAATGAAAGATTGAGGAACAATGGCATTTCATTCATCATCAAAAGAGAATATTTCAATACTTATTTTGAAGTACAACCCTGCCTGTGATAGGGTGATATCTATACGCCTACAAGGAAGACCAGTTAATACCACTATTATTCAAATGTATGCTCTAACCACTCAAACCAGTGAGGATGAAACTGAAGAATTCTACCAACTTCTTTAGCATGAAGTTTATCAAACATGCACTCGAGATGTACTGGTGATTGGACTGTAAAGGTTGGAAACAAAGAGGAAGGATCAGTAGTTGGAAAATACGACACTGGTGATAGAAACAATGCTAGCGATCGCATGATAGAATTTTGCAAGATCAATGATTTCTTCACAGCAGATAACCTTTTGTAAACAATATAAAAAATAACTATACAAAAGGACCTCACCAGATGGCATACTGACTACATCTGTGGAAAGAGATGGTGGAAAAGCTCCATATCATCAGCTAAAACAAGGCCAGGGACAGACTGTGGAACAGACCATCAATTGCTTATATGCAAGTTCAGGCTGAAGCGAAACAAAATTAAAATAAATCCACAAGAGCCAAAATATGACCTTGAATATATCCCACCTGAATTTAGAGATCATCTCAAGAACAGATTTGATGCATTAGACACTAAACACTGAAGACCAGAAGAGTTGTGGGATGACATCAAGAACATCATACAGGAAGAAAGCAAAAGGTCATTAAGAAGACAAGAAAGGAGGAAAAGACCAAAATGGATGTGAGAAGAGACTCTGAAACTTGCTCTCCAGCATAGAGATGCTAAAGCAAATGGAAAAAATGAGGAGGCAAAAGAGCTGAACAGAAAATTTCAAAGAGCACTTCAATACGACAAAGTCAAATATTATATTGAAATGTGCAAAGACCTGGAGTTAGAAAACTAAAAGGATAGAACATGTTCAGCGTTTCTCAAGCTGAGGGAACTGAAGAAAAAATTCATGCCTCAACTTGAAATATTGAAGGATTCTATGGGGAAAATACTGAATGATGCAGAAGACATCAAAAGAAGATGGAATTAATATACAGAGTCCCTGTACCAGAAAGAAATGGTCAATGTTCAACCATTTCAAGAGGTTGCATATGATCAAGAGCTAATGGTATTGAAGAAGTCCAAGGTGCACTGAAGGCATTGGCCAAGAACAAGGCTCCAGGAATTGATGGAATACAAATTGAAATCTTTCAACAAACTGATGTAGCACTGGAGGCACTCACTCATCTATGCCAAGAAATTTGCAAGACAACTACCTGGCCAACAGATTGGGAGAGATCTGTATCTGTGTCCATCCCAAAGAGAGGTGACCTAACAGAATACAGAAATCATCAGACAATATCATTACTATCACATGCAAAATGAAATTCTGCTAAAGATAATTTAAAAACAGCTGCAACAGGACATTGCAGGGAATGTCAGAGGTTCAACCTGGATTCAGACAAAGACGTGGAATGAGGACTATCACTGCTGACATCTGATGGATCTTGGCTGGAAGCAGAGAATACCAGAAAGATGTTGACTTCTGCTTCACTGACTATTCAAAAAGCATTAGACTGTGGATCGTAGCAAAGTACTGGTAGCATTGTGAAGAGCGGGAATCCTAAAACACTTAATTATGCTCATGTGGAACCGGTACAAAGACCAAGAGGTCTTTGTACAAATAGAACAACAGGATATCGTGTGGTTTAAAGTTAGGAAAGGTGTGTACCAGGGTCATATTCTTTCATCATACTTATTCAATTTGTATCGTGAGCATATAATCCCAGAAACTAAACATATGAAGGAAATCGCCGTATTAGAACTGGAGGAAGACTTATCAACAACCTGCGATATGTAGATGATGAAACTTTGCAGGCTGAAAGTGAAGAGGGCTTGAAGCACTTACTGATGAAGACCCGCGACTACAGACTTCAGTATAGATTACACCGCAACATAAAGAAAATGAAAATTCTCACAACGGTATCAATAAGCAATGTCATGTTTACCGGAGAAAAGAGTGAAGCTGTCAAGGATTGCATTTTACTTGGATCCAAAGTCAACACCCAGGGAAGCAACAGTCAAGAAATCCAACGATGTATTGGGCAAAAGACTTCTTTAAAGCATTCAAAAGCAAAGATGCACCTGGCCGAAGCCATGATATTTTCAACCACCTCACAGGCATGTGAAAGCTGGACAGTGAAAAAGGAAAGCAGAAGAGTCCATGCCTTTGAATTGTCGTGTTAGTAAAAATACTGAAGATATAATGGACTTCCGGAAGAATGAACAAATCTGTCTTGGAAGCAGTACAATCAGAATGCTCCTTAAAAGCAAGGGATGGTGAAACTTCATCTCACGTACTTTGAACATGTTACCAGGAGACATTCCCCTGAAGAAGGACATCATGCTTGGTTAAAATAATGGATCCAGGGAAAAGAGGAAGACCCCGAATGAGATGGCTTGACACGGTTGTTGCAATAATAGGCTGAAACATAGCAACAATTGTGTGGATTTGCAGAAGCAGGCATTATTTCGTTTGGTTGCACAAAGGATCGTGATAAGTTGGGACTAACTTGATGGTGCCTAACACCATCACTACCGTTGTATGTTTCTTTATCCATTTGTCTATTGATGGAACATTTGGCTTGTTTCCAACATTTGGGTTACTGTGAGTAGTCCTGCTGTGAACATGTGTGTACACAGTTAACTCATTAATGACTTCACAGAAGGGAAACCAAGAACCAGAGAAGGTCAGCTGAGAAGCTCCCTGGTGATCACAGACTTAAGCTGAAGAATTGTGGAAGATGTTGATTTCGTTGAAGATGAACTGAAGGGCAGTGAATGTGACAAAGAGCAGGACCTTAAGCGACAGATACTGTGTGGACAGACAGGAGGGAACCAGAGAAAGTTGGGTAGCAGTTTGTTCCAAAGACTCAGTTGGGTAGGTATGGAGACTTTGCTGAAACCCTGACACAGAAGAGAGAAGAATCTGAAATTCCAGATAAAGGAAACCCAGTGAGGAACAGAGCACATTAAGACACTACTGCCCTGAGATTATCTTTACACCTTAAACAAACAAACAAAAAATAGCCCTTAGAGTCTTCTTCACACTAAAGAACAATTTAGCTTAAGTAGTTAAAGAACGTCTACCTTGAGCACTGTCCTCTTTGAAAATTCTCTCTCTGGGATCGAAGGGGCAACAGCAACGTAGGGGTCAGACAGAAAGCTTAGGGGACATAGAGTTTATGTTCCTGGGAGCCACAGCTCAGAAAAGGAGGGTGAGCAGGGTTGCACAACTCAGAAAATGTGTTCCACTGATATGACTCACTGACTCATTCTTGAAAAAAATGGTTGAATACTTAAAAAAAAAAAAAATTGTCTCCAGAAGGAAGAGAGGGAGAATTTGTGCCTAGTGGGGCACAGTGTCCATGTTGATGGTGGCGGAACGGTTTGGAGAAAGGCTAACAAGAATGGTTGCCCACCTCAAAGCCCAGAATCAACGTGACTGAGTATTCCTTGTAGAAACGTGAATTGGGAATGGGTAGATGATTGGTTACATATATTTGCACCACAGTGAAAGAATTCAAGTCTCACTCATCAAGTGCCCCACAGCTGAGAAGCAACACACCCTCAAAGAGTGGAAATCCAGACAGGCTGCCTTGAGGAGGTGTTACTGCCCTCTGAAGGCAGTTAGCAGGAGGCGAAGAGGCTAGGGAGAGCATTCCAGGTGGGTGGGCCCAATGAGCAGAGAGGTCTAGAGAGTGAAGTCAGCCTCCCCAAGTATACCTCCCCTCACGTCCCCCAGGGGGTACCTCTGGCTCGGCCACATCCTGCTCAGTCCCCTTGAGCTGCTTCTGGTTCCAGCTGAGCCACATCTGATGCAGCTTTGCTTGACCCTCCACCAGCTTCTGGTCTACTCCGTGTTTGATAGTTTCCATCTGGGGCAGGAGAGAACAGTAAAGGAGGCTCCTATCAGCATCTCACTAATGCCGGCAGAGACCCACACACACCCCGGGAGAGGGGGGATTCCAGATAGCCTTCTTTTCTCTGACAGAATTATGAGATGCCCATGTCCCCATGTGCAAACTATCCGGTGGTGCCGCTAAAGAAAGACCTGGCAAACTACTTCTGTAAAAATCTCAAGAGAACCTTATGGAATACTGTTCTCCTCTGGCACACGAGGGGTCGCTGTGTGTCTGAGTCAGCTTGATGGCAACAGGTCTGGTTTTGTTTTATGAGAGGGTCTAGAAAGGGGAAGGGAGGAATGGTTGCTGTTTTATACAAAGGGTTCCATTTGTTGTGGTTGTTGGGTGCCATCACATCGATTCTGACTCCCAGAGGACCCCCCCCCCATGTGAAAGAGTAGAATTGTGCTCAGTAGGAGTTTGACTATGCTCTTTAGGAAAGCAGATTGCCAGGACTTTCTTTGGCCGCACCACCGGCTGGGTTCGAACCACCAACCTGTAGGTTAGCAGTCACGTTCAAATCATTTGTGTCACATAGGGGCCTGGAAACTTCATAAGTCACTGAAAAAAAAGTTTTATTTTGAAAAAAGTGTTTTCTAGGCTATAATCTTTATGGGTTGGAACTGACTCAATAGCACTTAACAACAACAAAACAATAATCTTCATGGGAACACATTGCCAGGTCTTTTCTCTCATGGAGTCACTGGGTGGGTTTGAATAGCCAATTTTTTGGTTAGCAGAAAAGTGCTTAATTGTTGTGTCACCTGGCTCCTAAGGTTTTCCATTGTTGTTAAGTGTCGACGAGTCAGTTCTGACTCTTAGTGACCTTGGATTTCCTAGGGTTTCCGAGGAGCAGCTGGTGGGTTTGAACTGCCGACCTTATAGTCTGAACTGCTTTGCACAGTTATGATGAAATAGTACGCTGTGTGAGCATTGGCTTGCTCACACCCTGTGAGGTCAATGCAGACAAGGTGGCTACACATTCTCTGTAGCTCCTCCCACCAATCAATTTCTCTACCCTTGTAACTAGAGTAGGCGGCGTCACTGGCTTTGGCCAATGGGACAGGAGCAGAGCTAACACAAGCAGAGGCTTGTACATTGCAGCTTCTCTGCTCTTGTTCCACAGAGAGCCCTCAACCACTGCCACCTCGTAAAAGACCCCCCAGCTAGCCTGTTGGAGAAGAAGAGCCTATGAAGACGCCCAGCCTCAAGCCGACCTGCAGAAATAAATCGTCATTGACTTAAGCCACTAAGTTACACAGCAGACGCTGGCCACAGTGGGGGCCTCACCAGGCTTAGGGTCTGTGACAGCTGCAGCAAAGCATCTTGGGCCCTCTGCTTGGTATTCTGCAGCTTGCCCAGCGAGTGCTGGTAGGCGTGCTGGCGCAGCCGTGATGAGAGTGAGCCCAGCCGCACAAAGTAGCTCTGTTCCTGCCGCTGCTGCTGCAATGAGGTGGTGTCAGAGTCCTCCAGCGGTGTGGCAATCCCCGCTGTGAGGGGAGAAAAATGGGGTGGGGTGGGGGGGAACACATAAAGTTCAGAATGCAAGCAGGGTGTCTCTGGCGCCCCCTGCAGGCGACCGCTGGAATTGCACCACTTGAGTTTATACCCTGGTCCTGCGGTTCACAAGATGATCCTGGTGGTGAAGCAAGTACTTTGGCTCCTAAACAAAAGGTTGGAAGTTCAAAGCCACTCAACAGCTCTACGGAAGACAGATCCAATAATGTACACTTGTAAAGAAAATTCTCTGGGGGCAATTCTACTCTGTCACAGACTGCCGCTAAGAGCTGAAATGGACAAGACGGCACCCAGCAACCACAACCTGCTGCTTACAAGCTCTGAAGCCTCAAGCCTCAATTTTCCCAACTGTAAAATGGGTATGATGGGGACAACACTAACAGAATCAAGAGGTCCTAGACTACTGAGCAGATGTGGCTCAGTGGTAGAGTTCCTGTCCTCCCTACAGGGGACCCGGGTTCAAATGCCATCCAATGCAGCCACCTCCCATTGATCAGAGGAGACGTGTGTGTGATGAGACTACTGAACAGGTATCAGCAGAGCTTCCAGACTAAGACAGACGAAGAAGAAAGACCTAGAGATAGACTTCTGAAAATCAGCCCACAAAATACCCCAAGGATTGCAAAGTTTCCATCTGCAATCAATGATGGGGAAGGGACAGAACCAGGGCAGTGTTTCGTTCCATCGTGCCTGGAACTGCTGGAATTCAGTGACAGCCAACAGCCACTGCCAACACCACATCAGATGACTGGGAAGGCATTCAAACTACAGGCTGTGGACCAGACTCCCTCAGCACCTGGTTTGTACACCCTACAAATAGAATTATGTAAACTCTTAACTATTCACATGTGGCAGGATCCTATATGTAGAAAAACCCTAACAGATCCACACCCCACAGAAAATGATTGATATTGTTGTTGTTGTGTGCCGTTGAGTCCATTCCAACTCACAGTGACCCTGTATAGGGTTTCTAAGGAGAGGCTGGTGGGTTTGAATCACCGACCTTGTGGTTAACAGTCCAGTGCTTATCCTACAGTGCCACACCAGGTGCTAATAAATGAATTAGCTAATAAATTACTATTCTTGTTTAGTGGCTTAGTGCCGTCGAGTCAGTTCTGACTCAGCAACCCTATGTGGGGTTTTCGAAGAGTGGCTAGTGGATTAGAACTGCTGACCTTGCATTTCAAACTGACCTTGTAGTCCAGTGATTATCCTATAGTGCCACACCAAAACTTCAGTAAATTTCAAGATATGAGATCAACACAGAAATATCAGTTGTAATTCTATGCACTAGCAATGAACCACCCACAAATGAAATTATGTGAACAATACCATTTCCAAAACCAAAAACCCCAAGGCCATTGAGTCAATTCTGATTCATAGCAATCCTATACAGTAGAACTGCTCTTAGGGGTTCTGAGACTGTTTCATTTGCTCCTGCAGAGCAGCTGGTAGGTTTGATCTAATAAGCTTACTGTCAGCAGCCCATGGTGTAACCCACTATGTTGTTGTTGTTAAGTGCCATTGAGTCAGTTCTGACTCTTAGCAAGCCTATATAGGGTTTTCCAAGGAGCAGCTGGTGAGCTTGAACTGCCGGCGTTGCAGTTCAAACTGACCTTGCAGTCCAGAGCACTAGCCTGCAACACTACACAGGGAATCCACTATAGCATAAAAAAAAAAAATGGGAGATCAATTTAATCACAGAAGTGCAAGTCAATGTATATCATCTACGGCTGCATTCAAGTTACAAGGAGGACGACACAGCTTTGCTCCGTGTTGCTTTTGGATGCCCCGTGTGAAGCTGATTACAACTCGTAGTTACCCCATATAAAAGGGAATTGCTCCAGAGGGGGCTTCTTTGGCTGTAATCTCTACGGGAGCAAATCGCCAGGTCTTTCTCCTGCGGAACCACTGTGTTTGAACCTCCAACCTCTTGATTAGCAGTGGAGGGCTTAACCTTTGCGCCACCAGGGCTCCTTTGTTGTAGTTAAGTGCTTTCAAGTCGGTTTGGACTCACAGCGACCCTGCATTGGGTTTCCAAGGAGAAGCTGGTGGGTTTGAACTGCCCACCCTGTGATTCGCAGCCCAGTGTTGATCCTATGGAGCCACACCAGGAGTCTATCCAGAGAGCTCCTTTAGGGCCTCAAATATTTATCATCTTTGCTCTTTGTGGAAAAATCGTGCCAATCCTGAATTACTGATGGCATGAGTTGACGGTAGCCATTGTTTAACCACTGTTCTAGATGTTTCAGGTGCATTCATGTTAAATCCTAATAATCCTAGATACAGGCACCCTTGTCCTATTTCAAAGATGAGGAAACAGGCTCAGAGAGGTGAAGCAACACGCCAGGATTAGACCATCCGGCCTTCTGTTCTCAAACAGGCTACTGGACTAGAAGCTCTGGGTCACAAATGTCTTTGATAGAAGGGAGAACTATCTAGACCATGAAGTACCTACCTCTGAAGTCCAAAGTTAGTAAGTTAGAAATTGTCTACACGAGTCATTTTATCCTCCTCCCACTAAACTTCACTATAGTACTTACGTGTTTGGACTTTGTCAGTAACCTGATGTGAGTTCAAATCCAGCCCTGCGAACTCACTGGCTCTGTAATACCTTAGGGTGAACACACTATGGCTCATGCACCAGTGCTTCCTGGTATTCTGTTCATTTATTATTGTTGAGAATATATATGTCAAAAGCCTACGTCCATTCAAGTTTCTACATGTACAAGTCGGTGAGATTGATGGAATTCTTTGAGTTTTGTGCAACCATTCTGACCTTCCTCTGTCCCCCCCAGGGACATAAACTCACAGCCTCATCTGCTCCTAATCTAACCTTTTGATTTGCTGTTGTCAATTCCATCCCATGGCGCTAGAGCTTCAAAGAGTACAATGTTCAAGATCAACCTTATTAGTTAAGCTAAACCACTGTTTGGTTTTAAGATGATTTCAGGAAATATTTTTGGTTGAAGGTTTAAGGGCGATCTCAGGGCAATAGTTGCAGGGATTCATCCAGCCTCCGTGGCTCCAGAAAGTCTGGATTCCACAAGAATGTTGCCTGCTTTTGTAAATAAAGTTTTATTGGCACACAGCCACTGCTGTTGCCAATTTGTTGTCTATGGCTGAGTTCATACTCGACAGACTCGGGAACTATGACAGAGACTCTGTGGCCTGTAAAGATGGAATTCTTTCCTATTTGGTCCCATAAAAAACATTTGCTACCTCCTCATTAAGTGGTTGCAAGTTCACCAGTGAGCCTCAGTTTCCCCTTCTGTACAAGGATCCCAGTCATAGACACTTGTACCTGGAAAAGTACACAAATGAATAATTTAGCCTTTTATGTTCTTCTGACTACAGGAGATGACAGGGGGTTAACACACTCAACTGCTCACTAAAGGTTAGAGAGTTGAGTCCAGCCAGAAGCACCTCGGAAGAAACGCCTGGAGATCTACTTCTGAAAAATCAGCCACTGAAAACCTTATGGAGCAGACTGTTGTATTCTGACACACATGGGGGCGCCAGGAGCTGGGGTCGACTTGATGCCAATTGGTAGTTTAGTTGTTTTTTTGTGTTTTGGTAGCAGATGATAGTTTTTTATTTACAGCATTGATAAAGTTTCCCTTCCTAAAATAGTCCAAAAAAGTTCATTTCTAGAAGATGATCAAATAAATAGTACGGGCTGATCAAAGTCACAGGAGAGAACGTCTCTGGCCATGCAGAGGATTAAATGAACCCTCAGCTTTAGCCTCATAGCTATTTGTTATTGGGGACAGGGACAGCTCTAGAAGTGAGAAGACAGCGGTGAAAAGTAGGCAACAGAATCCCAAGTAGAGTCTACATGTGACCTCACCAAAGTACACTGAGCGAGTCAGGGGAATTTTGTTGTCTCTATAAACGTCCCAGAATTTTCTAGTCTGCAGGTCAGTTCTCTTTCTTTGCTGGGCCAAAGAGGTCAGTATTCTTGGCTTGTGGGGTTCTACAGTCTCTTTCTCAACTAGGTGATTCAGCACAAAGCCTCCATAGACAATATGTAAACAAACGGGCAAGACTGTGTGTCACTCAAACTGTTGACATGGCTTTGTGGCTTTTACTACAAAGAACGTGGGAGCCTAGAGGACTGTGGGAAGAGGAGGGATGGGCCTGATTCAGGTGCTCACAGGAACCCTATGATTGCTGTTTGGAGGACAGATTGTGTGTGGGTGGGTACCAGGGACAAGTGTGGAGGAGACCGCAAAAGTCCAGGTGTACAATCATGGGGTTGGAAAAGATGGAAACAGGAAGAGGAGAAGTGGGCGTTGGGAATAGTTTGTGCAAAGGCCCTGAGGCAGGATGGGGCCTGGAGAGTTGGAGGACCGGCGAGGAGGCCCATGTGACTGGATCAGAGTGAATAAGCAGGTAGCCATGATGGGGACTACACAGGACATGCGATGGGATGGCAGGGAGGAGGAACACAGGCCAGAAGTTAGAAAGAGGCCCCAAGGAGACACTTACCCAACTCCTCATCTGTCATGGGCAGGTGGTTGTCCATCCACTCCTCCGATCTGCCCAGCACCGTGTCCACCCCGCTCAAGACCATCTGGCCCATGCGGGATTCCATGACCGAGTGGACACTGCTGGTCACCATGGACTTGGTCTTGTCCATGCCACTCTGCACAGTGCCCCGGGTCGCGTCTACTGCCTCTGTCACTCGGTTGGTCACGGTGTCCTTGGCACTGGACACTGTGTTGGTCACCATGTCTCGGGCACCTGACATTTTGGACGAGATGAGATCCTTGGTATCTTCTAGGACCTAGGGGATGGCAGATGTCAGCATCTGTGCCCTTGGGACCTCCAAGGAGGTCAGAGAGAAATCCCATCGCCCATCTGACCCCATAGGACAAACACTGAGTAGAACCAAGAGCTCTAGACCAGGCACCAGTATCAGTCCATGGAGTCGATCCAGACACCCTCATGTATGTTAGAGTAGAACTGCACTCCATAGGGGTTTCTCAGTGACGGCTTCTCAGAAGTAGTTCTCCAGGTCTTTCCTCCGAGGCACTTCTGGATGGACTCAAACCCCCAACTTTTTGGTGAGCAGCCAAGCATGTTGACTGTTTGCACCATGCAGGGACCCCTTGTCATTTAGAATATATATCCGTTAGCACATCACAGTGCTCAACCACCACATGTGGCTAGTGACCCCCATACTAACAACACAGCTCAGACCACCCACCGTACTAGTTAACACAGCTCGAGACCATGAGCTTCTGAGGGGGCTGCATTTCACCTTTATTGTTCAGCCCCTAATACAGTGCCTGAAACAGAGTGGGCACCTAAGAGCTATTTGCTGATTAAAATATTCAACCGTATCTCACATTTCTGGGCCTGACACTGTGCTAGACCGATGACCTACATTGTTTCATCTAACTCCATGACAACGCCCTGAAGGAGGTACCAGTGATTGGAGGACTGAGGCTCAGACAGGTGGGAGCCAGAAAGCCCAGGTGTAAATCCCAGATGTGATACTTCCTAGCTGTGTGGCCTCAGGGAATTCACTTGACCTCTCTGTGCCTCTGTTGTTACAGCAGTGTTTGGCAGCTGAAACAAAAATCGCTGCCAAACTAGAGCCACAGTGAAGACCCTAAGCTGGCTGGGTGTGTATTCCCACACTAATTAAGCCCCTCAGAGCAGTGGGACTGGCAGGGGGTGGTTTGCCCACCAGGGGACATTGGCCAATATAGGAAGACATGTATGCTTATCACCACTTTGGGAGATGATAGTAACATGAAGTGGGTGGAAGCCAACAATACTGCTCCATATCTCATAGTGCCCAGTACAGCCCCAACCCAAGAGTGCCAAGTGGAAAGACCATGTGTTCATTATCTGGGGGAGAAAGAGTCCAATCCCTACTCACACTGCCTACCAGAATGAACTCCCGCTGGGTCAGATGGTGTCAACCCGGGGGGGCCCTCTCGCTCCTGTGATTTCCCTCCTCTCTCCCCACGACTCGACTGTGTGGACTTCAATGTGGGCAGAGCCCTAGGACATCAGGAGTCAGATGACTAAGGGACCCAAAGTCTCCTGGGGGTCAGTGGACTCCCCTAAATCAGAGGTTTTCATCTGGGGAGATTCTGCCCCCAGGGGGAATTAGGCGATGTTGGGAGTCACAGCTGCGGGGGCGTGCTCCTGGCATCAAGTAGGTGCGGGCTAGGAGTGCTGCTCAACACCCCACAGTGCCTACGATATCACATTCCAGAGAATCAGCCGTCCCATTGTCAGCAGTGTTGAGGGGAGAGACCCTATATACCGGCTTGAACTGGCTATGAACCCTAAAGTTCAGTCTAGTTGGAACCTCAGGACATGATCTTATTTGGAAACCAAGTCTTTGCAGATGTGATGAGTTATGATGAAGTCATACGGAGTGTGCGGGGGTGGTTCCCAGAGCCCAATGACTGTGAAGCCACACAGAGACACAGGGAAGAGGGCGCCAGGTGAAGACAGACACGGGAGATGGGAGTGATGTGGCCACAAGCCAAGGAGCATCAAAGGTCATCAGTAGCCACCAGAAGCTGGAAGAGGCCAGGAAGCCACTGGACATAATTCAGTGGACTAAACTTTGGGCTGCTAACTGAAACATCAGCGTTTCAAACCTACCAGCTGCTCTACAAGGGCAAAGATGAGGCCATCTGCTGCTGTAAAGATTTACAATTCAGACACCCCATGGGGCAGTTCTGCTCTGTCCTCTAGGGTCATTTTGAGTCAGAATGGACTCAAAAACAGTGGGTTTTTCTCCTATGGAACTGCTGGTAGATCCAAACCATCACCCATGTGCCACCAGGGCTCTCCCTTCTCTGCACAGCGTTCCTGCAAAAGATGATGTTGCTACAAGTATGTCAATCACTTCCTATGCATGTGAAAGCTGGACAGTGAATAAGGAAGAACGTAGAAGAATTGATACATTTCAGTTATGGTGTTGGAGGAGAATAGTGAAAGTACCATGGGCTGCCAACAGAACCAACCAGTCTGTGTTGGAAGAAGTACAGCCAGAATGCTCCTTCGAAGTCAGGATGGTCAGATTTCATCTCTCATATAATCAGGAGGGACCAGTCACTGGAGAAACACATCATGTTTGGAAAGTAGAGGGTCAGAGAAAAAGAGGGAGACCCCCAAAAAGATGGATTAACCCAGTGGTGGAAGCAATGGGCCCAGGCTTAGCAATGATTGTCGGGTTGGTGAAGAACCAGGCAGTGTTTTGTTCTATTGTGCCTATATAGGGTCGCTATGAGTCAGTGATGACTCGATGGTGCCTAAGAACATTGTTGTTAAGTGCTGTTGAGTTGGTTCCAATTCATAATGACCCTCTATATAGGGTGTCCGAGGCTGTACATCTTTGCAGGATCAGAAAGCTTCATCTCTTCCACAGAGCAGCTGGTGGGCTTGAACTGCTGACCTTGTGGCTAACAGCCCTGTGCTTATCACACAGAGCCACTGTGTTCCTAGAAAATTAGATTTGTTGTTGTTAAGTGCCGTCGAGTCGGTTCCGACCCATAGCCACCCTGTATAGGGTTTCCAATGAGTGACTGGAGAAAATTAGATAGCCACCCCATTTTATCCTTTGTAACATCCAGTCTTCCTATACCTGTGGGGATGAGTTGTTTTGAGTGGAGGAGATAGAAGGGGGAGAAGGGGAGATAAGCCCCCAGTGGTGCAATGGTTGACCTGCTTGGCTGCTAACGAAAAGGTTGGAAGTTTGAGTTCACCCAAAAGTACCTTGGAAGAAAGGCCTGGCAGACTACTTCTGAAAAATCAAACAGTGAAAAGTACAACTATTGGTCTCTCCCAGACCAGAGCAAAGAAGAGTGAAGAAAATCAAAAATGCTTGGAAACAATGTGTCCAAAGTACTAAGGATCACAGCCCTGAAAACAGAAAACGTCCATGGTGCCTGGCTACCACTCGAAAGGAATCAGAACAGGAGGTTCTGGGTAGAGTGGGAGAGAAATGTGGAACAAAACTAAAAAACAGAACAAAAAGACGGAAAGAAGGACCAGGCATACTGGTTAGGAAGAGCTCTGGTGGACACCACAGCCTCCCCGCCCCCCTTTAGTCATTCTTTAACACTTTATGTCACCCTCCACGGCTCAACTTTCAGCCAAAGGGCAGGAGACAGACCTATAAGGTAAACATCACACACACTCCTCAATCAGCCATCCAAGATCAAAGGGCAGGTGCTCAGAAGGCAAGAGGGGATAGGAAAGGAGGAAGAGTAGAAACAGTAAACCCCATGATTGGGAAGAATATTGTTACATTGAGGCGATTACAACCAACTCACAAAATGCAGACGAACTGTTGAATGGAAACGAACTTGCACAGCAAACTTTCACCCAAATCACAAACAAAAGTTAAAAAAATAAAACAACAAAACCAACCACGTAAAACCCCATGAAGCACCGTTCTCCTCTGATACACATGAGTGGCTGTGAGTCAGGACCCACTCATAGCAACTGGCCCTAGTATAATTAATATCGGCGTGCCGATAACGGAGCTGGCCCTGGTTCAAATCCCAGCTTGGACTACTCTGCATTGCTACAGCATGGCTCCACCTCACAGGGCCGGAACTGAAAGAGCCCGGTGTCCTTCAGAGATCAGCAGGCTGTTTGTCGACCTTGGGGAGTTTCATCCTGAGTTCAGCTCTTCTATAAATGGAAGGAATGTTTGCTTCTTGGCTAGTGGCAGGGCAGAGGGGGCACACAAGTGCCCAGCTCAAAGGAGGCGTCTCCGATCTGAGGCCTCTCCATTCTTCTGTGAATTTAGCACTTTCTATCTACCATTAATCCTAGTCCGTAAAATAGTTTCTGCTGGTGAGAAATGAGTTCAAGTCCTGCCTCACTGGTCACTCAAAACAAAGATTCTATGCCATTAAGTTGGTTCCAACTCAGAGTGACCCTGTAAATCTTTCTTGTTGCTAGCTAGGTGCCTTTGAGACAGTCTGGACTCATAGCAACCTTATGCACAATGCAATGAAACACTGCCCTTTCCTGTGCCAGCTATACCACTGTACCAATCCACCTTGTTCTTTTCTTCTGACCCTCCACTTAACCAAGCATGAAATGCTTTTCCAGGGAATGATCTCTCCTGACAATATGTCTGAAGTATGAGAAATGAAATCTGACCATCCTGGCTTCAAAGGAGCATTCTGGCTATACTTCTTCCAACACAGATCTATTGGTTCTTTTGGCAGTCCATGGCACTTTCAATATTCTCCTCCAACACCACAACTCTAAAGTATCAATTCTATAGTCTTCCTTATTCACTGTCCAACTTTCACATGCATATGAGGTTACTGAAAATGCCATGGCTTGGGTCAGGTGCACCTTAGTCCTCAAACTGACATCTTTGCTCTTGAACACTTTAAAGAAGTTTTGTGCAGCAGATTTGCCTAATGCAATAGGTTGTTTGATTTCTTGACTGCTGTTTCCATGAATGTTGATAGTTGATCCAAGCAAAATGAAGTCTTTGACAACTTCAACTTTTTCTCCATTTATCATGATGTTATTTACTGGTCCAGTGGTGAGCACTTCCTTTTTCTTTACATTGATTAAGATGCAAACCATACTGAATGCCATGGTCACTGATCTTCATCAATAAGTAAATCTTTATGGGAGCCGAAACCTCATCTTTCTCCCAAGGAGTGGGTGGTGGGTTTGAACTACCAACCTTGAAGTCAGCAGTCTAGTGTTTCTCTTATAGTGCCACACCTGTTCACTAACCACAACCCACAAACATCAAGTAGATGTCTAGCACTCGGTCTGTCGGTTTGTCGTACTGTGTTGGCTTGCATGTTGCTGTGATGCTGAAAGCTATACCACGAGTATTTGAAATACTCATACAGTCACCCACAGTGGAAAAGTTTCAGCTGAGCTCCCAAACAAAGACTAGAAAGAAGGAGAGATGGACTACTTCTAAATGTTTACTCACTGAAAATGTTATGAATAGCAATGGAACACTGTCAGCACTTGAAGACTAAATACAGAAACATGATGAAGAACACCAGAATACTGACAGATAAAGTGCCAGAAGATGAGTCCCTCAGGTTGGAAGACACCCACAATGTGACTGGGGAAGAGCTGCCTCGTCAAAGGAGAGTTGACCGTGATGACGCGAATGGAGTAAAGCCTTCCGGACATTCATTTGCTGATGGGGCACAACTCAAAATTAAGAGAAACAGCTGTAAACGTCCATTAATACTCAGCACATGGAATGTACGAAGCATGACACTAGGAAAATTAGAAATTGCGAAAAATGAAATGGAACTCATAAACGTCGATATCCTAGGCATTAGTGAGCTAAAACAGACTGTTGTTAGCCATTCTGAATTTGATAATTACATGCTTTACTATTCCAGGAATGACAAATTGAAGAGGAATGGCGTCGCATTCAACATCAAAAAGAACACATCAAGATCAGTCATGAACATTGGCTACCCAAAATGGGGGGCTACAAAGACAAGAAGTAGACTGGCTTACAAGCTTTCAAGAGGGAACCTAGATTCAGAGGGCATGGAATAAGGTAGAATCTCCACTGATAGTATCCAATCTGTCTAGGCAGGGCTGATGAAATGAAATGTGGATAGGTCTCTTGTGATACAATAGTGAATAATTGTTATCAGGACTGATTGTGAGGGTTGCAAATGTAAAGGCAGATGTTTTGTAGCAAGGAGGGGAGTGATTAACTTTTCAGTCTAGGAGCTGAGGTCCCTGGGACCATCAAGGGAGAAGAGCTGAGAGCGGGACCCTACCCAGAAAAGCAGTGAGGCCTGAGATGGAGGCAGAGATGATGACGTTGAAAGATGGAGCAGCTGGGACTTTATAGACACAGAGAGGGAGAGGGGCTGTGTGCTGACAACCGGGGGGCAGGCTAGTAGTGTATACCCTGTGGTTGGTTGATGATGCATAGAAGGGATTGTAACCATGGCAACGAAATGATATACGATAGGATGAATGTAAAACTAATGTTCTCCCATGTAAACTATCACATAATTCACAATAAAACATTAAAAAAAAGATCAGTCATGAAGTACAATGCTGTCTGTGATAAGATACTATCCATATCCTACATTGAAGCCCAGTTAATACCACCATTATTCAAATTTACACACCAACCACTAAAGCCAGTGATGATGAAATTGAAGAATTCTACCAATTTCTTCAGCCTGAAATTGATCAAACATGTCATCAAGATGTATTGATAATTACTGGTGATTAGAATGCAAAGATTGGAAACAAAGAAAAAGGATCAGTCATTGGAAAACATTGCCTTGGTTATAGAAACGATGCTGGAGATTGCATGATAGAACTCTGCAAGACCAATGACTTCTTCATTGAAAATACCATTTTTAAACAACATAAAAGATGCCTATACACATGGGCGTCCCCAGATGGAATACACTGAAATCAAACTGACGACATCTGTGGAAAGAGATGGTGGAGAAGCTCCATATCACCAGTCAAAACAAGATAGGGGCAGACTGTGGAACACACCATCAACTGCTTATATGCAAGCTCAGTCTTAAGTTGAAGAAAATGAAAACAAGTCCACAAGAGCAAAAATATGACCTTGAGTATATCCCACCTGAATTTAGAAATCATCTCAAGAACAGATTTGATGCATTAGACACTAAAGACTGAAGACCAGAAGAGTTGTGGGATGACACCAAGAACATCAAACAGGAAGAAAGCAAAAGGTCATTATGAAGACAAGAAAGAAGGAAAAGACCAAAATGGATGTCACAAGAGACTCAGAAACTTGCTCTCCAGTGTTGAGATGCTAAAGCAAATGGAAGAAATGTGGAGGTAAAAGAGCTGAATAGAAAATTCCAAAAGGCAGATAGAGAAGACAAAGCCAAATATTATAATGAAATGTGCAAAGACCTGGAGTTAGAAAACCAAAAGGGAAGAACACAGTCAGCATTTCTGAAGCTGAAAGAACTGAAGACAAAATTCAAGTCTCAACTTATAATACTGAAGGATTCTCTGGGCAAATTACTGAATGATGCAGAAAGCATTGAAAGAAAATGGAAGGAATACACAGAATCACTGTACCAAAAAGAAATGGTCGATGTTCAACCATTTCAAGAGGTAGCGTATGATGATTAAGAGTCAATGTTACTAAAGGAAGAAGTCCAATGTACATTGAAGGAATTGGCAAAGAACAAGGCACCAGGAATTGATGGATTACAAATTGAAATCATTCAACAAACTGATGCAGCACTGGAGGCACTCACTCATCTGTGCCAAGACATTTGGAAGACAACTTCTTGGCCAACTGACTGGAAGAGATCCATATTTGTGCCCATTCCAAAGAGAGGTGATCCAACAGAAGGTTGAAATCTTTGGACAATATCATTAATAGCCCATGCAAGCAAAATTTTGCTAAAGATACAACTGCAACCATACATTGACAGAGAAGTTCCAGAGGTTCGAGTCAGATTCAGAAGAGGACATGGAATGAGGGATATCATTTCTGATGTCAAATGCATCTTGGCTGAAGCAGAGAATACTAGAAAGGTGTTTATCTGTGCTTTATTGACTATGCAAAGGCTTTCGATTGTGTGGATCAAGACAAACCATGGACAACATTGTGGAGAATGAGTATTATGCAACATTTAATTGTGTTCATGGTGAATCTGTACATAGACCAAGAGGCAATTGTTCAAAGAGAACAAGGGAACACTGAATGGTTGAAAATCAGCAAAGGTGTGTGTCAGGGTTGTATTCTTTCATCATACTTATTCAACCTGTATGCTGAACACATAATCCATAATCTTGAACACAAGAGCTGGATTATATGAAGAAAAACGTGGCATAAGGATTGGAGGAAGACTCATTAACAACCTGCGATATGCAAATGATACAACCTTATTTGCTGAAAGTGAAGAGGACTTAAAATACTTACTGATAAAAGATCATAAACCACAGCTTTTCATATAGGTTATACCTCAATGTAAAGAAAACAAAAGTCCTCACTCTGGACCAATAAAATAACATCATGATAAATGGAGAAAAGACTTCATTTTTCTTAGATCCACAATCAACACTCATGGCAGCAGCAGTCAAGAAATCAAACGATGTAGTGCACTGGGCAAATCTGCTACACAAGACCTCCTTAAAGTGTTCAAGAGCAAAGATAGCAGTTTGAGGACTAAAATGTGACTTACCCAAGCCATGGTATTTTCAATAGCTTCATATGCATGTGAAAGTTGGACAGGGAATATGGAAGATGGTGGAAAATTGATGTGTTTGTGTTATTTTGTTGGAGAAGACTATTAAAGGTACCATGGACTGCCAAAAGAACAAACAGGGAAGAAGTATATCCAGAATGTTCCTTGGTAAGTCAGGGTGACCAGACTTTGTCTCTCATACTTCAGACATATTGTCAGGAGGGACCAGTCCCTGGAGAAGGACATTATACTGGTTAAAGTGGAGGATCAGGGAATAAAAGAAAGACCCCCAATGAGATGAATTGGCACAGTGGCAGTAACAATGGGCTTAGGTGTAGCAACAATTGTGAGGGTGGTATAAGACCGGGCAATGTTTCGTTGTATTGTGTCGCTATGAGTCGTTATCCACTCCTTGGTACCCAACAACAACTGTATATGTATTATATACTTCCAGTGTGATGTTGTAAGGAGCTCTGGTAGCGTAGTGGTTACAAATCGGGTTGCAAACCGCAAGGTCAGCAGTTCGAAACCACCAGCTGCTCTGCGGGAGCAAGATGAGGCTTTCTGTTCCCATAAAGATTTACAGCCTCGGAAACCCTGTTCAGGGTTGCTATGGGTCGGAACTGACTCGATGGCACTTAACAACAACAACAACAGTGTGATGTTGTAGGATCAGCACTGGACTGTAAACCACAAGGTTGGCATTCAAACCCACCAACTGCTCCTCAGAATCCCTATACATGCTCACTATGAGTCAGAACCAACGCCATGTCACTTAATGACAACGTTTTTAATGACAACAATGACAATATTGTTAAGTTGTTAAATGCCGTCGAGTCGGTTTGGATTCATAATGACCCTGTATAGGCTTTGTGAAGGAGCAACTGGTGAATTTGAACTGCTGACCTTGTGGTTCAAACCAATCTTGCAGTTCAATGCGTTATCACAAAGCACCACACCAGGACTCTAACAGCAACAACGTGTGTGTGTGTGTGTGTGCGTGCGTGTGCTCCCTGGGTGGAGCACACACACACACACATATATATATATATATAAACACACACACACACTTAGTAAACACCTAGTCCCTGGGTTGAGCAGATGGCTAACATTCCGACTGCTAATCAAAAGGGTGGTCATTTGAGTCCACCCAGGGGTACATCCGAAGAAAGGTCTGGCAATCTGCTTTAGAAAACTCAGACACTGAAAACCCCATGGCACACAGTTCTACTCCGACACACAAGGGGTCGTCATGAGTAGGAGCCATCGTGTGCAGACTCACTGAACCTCCACAGAGCTCCTGGGATGGAGTCCAGTTACCTTCTCAGGAGGCTTCTGAAGGATGGGCAGGTTCTCTTCCAGCTTGTCCAGCCCCTTGTGGGCATACTCACTGGCGGACGCAACTGCAGAGATGGAGCAAGAGAGAAACATGACGGTGACTTCCCCATCTCCGCCCACTAGAAGCTCCCGGAAGCTCAGCTGGGACAGGTTTGGGGAAGCAGGTCCAGGCTGAGTGGGCGTTACTCACGCTGTGGCTCCAGCTTCGAGAGGATGGGCTGGGCCCCAGTGACGGCGGCCGCTGTGAGGGTCTTCACACCCTTCTCAGCCACGTCACAGACAGACTTAACGTGGGGGTAGTATTCCTTGGTGGAGGTGTAGGCGGCAGACACCATGCCACAGGTGGAGCTGATGAGAGGCAGGTTGGCCACACGGTCCACCACACTCGGCTGAAGAGGACAGTGGACATGAGGTCAGGCTGGGTCAGGGGGCATCTGGGGTTTTGCTTCTAATCCTAGCCCATGAAGTGGCTTTGCTCACCCCCACTTTGCTGCCAGGTGCTTCAGGCTTCCCCAAACTTACTCCACTCTCATTTGTTTGTATGTGGACTTCACACCTATATGCCAGGCAGAAGCAAAGGTAGTGCAAAGGGTTCATGCACTCAGCTGCTAACTCAAAAGATAGTAGCTCGAGTTCACTCAATAAAGGCCTGGCAGCCGACTTCCAAAACCTCAGCCACCTGAAACCGTGTGGAGCCCAGTACAACTCTGACACACACACTGTTGCTATGAGTTGGGGTCGATTCCATGGTAACCGGCTTTTTGTCCCTGAATGGTATAATTCATTGGTTGACTAACTCAGTTGCTAACCCAAAGGTTGGCAATTCGAGTCCACCCAGAGGCACCTCTGAAGATAGGTCTGGTGATCCACTTCTGAAAACTCAGCCAATGCAAACCCTATGGAGCACAGTTCTCCACGGACACACATGGGGGTTGCCATGATTTGGAGCCGATTCCATGGTAACCTGTGTTAGAGGATCCTCAAAGGTTGGGAAAGATCTGGCTCCAAGAAGAAGGATTCTTTCAGAAGGATCCCTGGCCCCTCCCCAACCCTTCAAGACCCTTTGAGAGTCTTCCCACTCCGACCTGAAGCACCTACAGTGAACATAACCCCAATAGTGGATAAAACTCTAAATGACTATTAAATCAATTCTGGCTCATAGGATCCTGGAGAACAGAGCAGGACTGCCCCATAGGGATTCCCAGGCTGTGATCTTCAAGGGAACAGACAGCCACATCGTTCTCCTGAGGAGCGGCTGGTGGTTTCGAACTACCGATCTTTTGGATACCAGCTGAGCCCTTTAACCACTGAGCCACCAGGGCTTCCTCAGTGGAGCTATATGTACAATGGTTATTTCTCCCTACCCCCAAGGTGCTGCCAGCAATCCCTGGCTCCCAGCCACAATGTGGGAAGATTTCTGAGAGTCCTGGGGCCCCTTGGTCCCATCCCTCCCTCACCTGTTGTACTGGTTCTACAACATCCATCTGAGCGCCAGCGGGAGTCTCTGTTCCGTTGGCAGCCATGGTCCTGGTGACGGGCACTGAAGACAGAGGAGACAATTGCCAACAGTACACTCAGAATGCCCCTCCCTCCAGGGCAAAGTTCAAGCCCACGCCACCAGCTGGGGGACAGAGGGCAGCTCACCTGGACCCTTACCCTGCCCTTTGACACCTCACTTCCGGGGAGACTTACGGCTCTCAAATGCATGGGGCCACCTGGGGAGCTTGTTACAAAACAGGTGCTGAATCAGCAGGGGTGGGGTGGGAGCCTGTAGTTCTAACATGCTCCCAGGTGCTGCCGGTCCCAGAACCCCGTGGATTTGGGGGGTTCCAGCCTGTATCAACATTCTGTGGGACCACGTGTGCAAAGAACCTAGATTCCAACTCGCAGCGACGCACGCATGCAGAGTAGAACTGCTCCCCAGGATTTTCAAGGCTGTAATCTTTCGGAAGCAGACTGCCAGTATTTTCTTCTGAGGCACCTCTGGGTGGGTCCAAATGCCAACTTTTTGGTTGGCAAGTAGTACGCTTAAGTTTGTTTGAGCACTCCCCTCTCTCCTCCAACACTCCAATGTGCCAAAAGCTGCTATGTTTTACGAGACACCTTCCCTTTGACCCATCAACTTTACTTTGTGGAAAGTCTCACACCTGTACTGACAGGTGGGTAGAGGTATGTGTATGTACTGGGAACCTCAATGCCCAATGGAAGGGACTTGGCCCAGTACAGCGGCTAGACATGGACTAGGAGTCTGGGAGAGGGATGCAAATGGTTAATGTGCTCAGCTGTTAACCCAGAGATACCTCGGAAGAAAGACCTGGTGATCTGCTTCTGAACTGTCAGTCACTACAAGCCCACTACAGTTCTACTCTGATACACACTGGGACATTATGAGACAGAGCGAACCCAACAGTAACCAGTTTGGAATCCCTGGGGTATGCAATGATGAACATGTTTGGTTGTTAACCCAAAGGTTGGAGGTTTGACTCTAGAAGTGCCTCGGAAGAAAAGCCTGGCAGTCTGCTTCAGAAAGATCACAGCCTTGAAAACCTGAGGAAGCAGTTCTACTCTGCACACATGGCATCATGGTGAGTCGGAACCCAGGTTCTATGTCCCCCAGAAAATGGATACAGGCTGCTCCCAGATCTCACAATTGTAATGTTTGAGCCCATTGCCGCTGCCACTATTTCAATCCATCTGGTGGTTGG